GGGAGGAAGTGGGAGGGGAGCTGTTGCATTGTGGTAAACTGTGGTCAATGTCATAAGACAAAGTGTATGTGAACTGCTGTATGGAAAGTGAATCTGCTCTGTAAATCTCCACCCAAATCACAATTTAAAAAAAAAAAATGGCTATTCTCCAAAGTGTGCAAAAATGTGTGTAAAACGATGTCATCAAAAAACGCAAAAACTAGAGGCAACATAAATGTCTATCAGTGGGATGCTGCTTAAATAGATTATAGTATATCCATGCAACGGAATTATGGAGCTGTTAAAAAGACTAATGAAATTTCCACTTATGAAAATACAGAGATGGCTAATACCTGTGATTAATGGAAAGTAGAGTGAGGGAGATACAGATAAATAAAATTTAGCATATATGTAGAACATTTCTTAAAAGACTACATAAGAGACCTAACAGGGGGGCCAGGGCTCAGGGATGGAAATAGGAAGGCAAACTAATTTTTCCTTTTACTTCTCTTGTGTACTATTAGTATTTTTAAAATATAGTATTACTTTATAATAATAGCAATAAAGTATAGTGTATAGTTTTTAAAATAAGTATAAGACTGTTCCTTTTCTGGGCAGTACAGATTTTCCCACATCTCACAGTTGTGCTAAGGTAATTACCTGCATTGAAATGGGGCAGCTTGTCATTAATGTACATCAGACAGTAAGCACTAACATTTCTCAGGCCTCCATAAGAATCCCTTTCAAGTTCTTCCCAGGAAGATTCAGTAACAGAAATGTCATTGTACTTGAGCCAGATTTGTCGGGGTTGGTTATAGATATAGGCCCAGTAGTGTCCAGCATTTGCTTGTCCTTCATGTACAAGAACTGCATGCAAACGGTAAGGCACCTGCAAATCAGAACGTATATTCCTGAGGTAAGTAAGCAAAGTTATCTCACAGAGATTAGGTTATTAAATTCAAAATTATTCCCAACGATCAGATATAGGAAAATCACTTACCTATGTGTTGGATATGGGGTTCACATCAAAACATCATATTGATTTAAGATGAACTAATCAACAAAAACAGCAATCTAGGCCATTGGAATCTACACTTTGTCTCAGGTTCCTGAATCTTTTAAAACCAGTTGAATGAGATGACCTCTTTGAGGACTCTTCCAACTCTAAACTCCTACGATAATACATCTAAAACCAAAGCTAGCCTAAACCTATTTACTGCTTCTCCTGCCCCCAATTTCAAACTCAGTTTATTTCAAGGATAGAATACACCTTAATCACTCACTATGAGAAAATGTTATTTGAGAGCAACAAGTTTAGCAGTTATCTTGTTCTACCTTTTTGTATTTGGTACTAAAATTTAAGTTAACATATTTCATTATGAATCAATCACATGCTCCCTATATTTCTTCTTGTGAGTGAACATTCACCTATTCAGGATGAAAACTTTTTAACTACATATTGTTTAGTTTTTTTAATGTTTTTTTCAATGCTCAAGTGCTCAGTAAATATTGGTAAAGAAAAGAAAACCTAACAAAAAATCAAATTAGACTTAATCAGTACCTTGACATATTGTTACTGGAGGTAAAGATTTTTTTTTTATTTTTTAATTTTGATTGTGATTTGGGTGAAAGTTTACAGAACAAATTCACTTTCCATACAGCAGTTCACACACTTTGTCTCATGACATTGACTACAACTTACCACAATGCAACAGCTCCCCGCTCCATAGTTCCTTCTTCCCTGTGTCTTTCCCTCCATGTACTCCTGCCCTGAGTGGTCTTCCAGTGCATACACAGCCCTTCTGTTCTCCCACAATGGATCTCTCCACGGAGTATATCTACCTAATGTAAACGTTCACCTCATATGCCTGTCTTTTGTTTGGCTGGAAGCCACAGGAATGGGTTCAATTCCATACATGAAGAGCAGCTAGGGGCCATATCCTCAGAGGTTCCATCAGGTTCTATCAGACCAGCAAACCTGGTCCTTTTTTAAAAACCGATTTTGAGTTTCGTTCCACAGTGTTCTCCCAATCTATCCAGGATCTCTACAGAGATTCCCCCGCAAGTGGTTGACAGTGGTAGCTGGGCACCATCTAGTTCTTCTGGTCTCATAGTCATATAGGCTGAGGATTGCATGGTGGACCAGTTGCTTAGACTATTTTGTTTCCATGTGTCTTTGGTTTTCCTCATTCTTCTTTGCTCTGGATGAGGAGAGTCACATCGTTCCATCTAGACAGCTGCTTGCAAGCTTTTAAGATCCCAGTCGCTACTCACCATAGTAGGATGTGGAACAATGCTTTGGGCAATATGTTATGCAAATTGAGCTTGATGTCCCCTGTGACTATGGCCCTGAGCCCACAGGTCAAACTACTTGCTCCCTCTGGGTAAATGGCTGTGGCTAAGAAGTGACTACAACCTTGTCCCTTGTCAGCTCTAGTACGTATCTGAAAATTCTTACAGAACATACAAACACTTTAGAAACACTGTCTGCCAACCCTATACATGGTCTTGGGCACATTCCCCCCTGCATAGACATACCTAGTAGTTCAGCCTGTCCACCCATCTATCCACCTGTATATCCATTTTGCCTTCATTGACAATGCAGGACTGTATGTGCAAAAGGGTTCATCTTTGTTGTCTGTACCTCCCATGCCCCTATCTATGACTTCCTCTTCCTCAATGTCACCGTGTTCATCACTCACATTTGGTACATTGCCCTTCTCTTCACCCAAATCAATACTTGTCTCTACCTATCTAACAGTTTTCCCTCCCCTCCTTCCACTCCTGGTAACCAATAAAGAAAATTTCCTTCCATATGTAAACCTCTTCTTGACTTTTTACAATAACAGACTAATACAATATTTGTTCTTCTGTGATTAACTTATTTCACTCAGTATAATGTCCTCCAAGTTCATCCATGAGCTGTTTTTCCAATTCTACATTATTCTTTAGAGTTGCACAGTATTCCATGTGTGTATGGTACCATAGTTTGTTTATCCATTCTTCTGTTGATGGGCACCTAGGTTGTTTCCCTCTTTTGGCTATTGTAAATAGTGCTACGATGAACATGGTGTACATATATCTGTTCTTGTACTGGCTCTCATTTCTTTAGGCTATATACCTAGTAATGGAATCAATACCTAGTAATGGCTGGGTCAAATGGTATTTCTAATTTCAACTTTTTAAGGAATTGTCATACTGCTTCCCACAGTGGTTGTATCATTTGACAGTCCCACCAGCAGTGTAAAAGAGTCCAAATCTCTCCACATCCTCGCCAGGATTTGTTATTTTCTGTCATGTGGAACTTTGCTATTAGTGCTGAAACAAGATGGTATCTCATTGTTTTGATTTGCATTTCTCTGATGGCTAATGATTGTGAGCATTTCTTCATATGTTTGTTGACCACCTGAATATCCTCTTTGGTGAAGTGTCTATTCATGTCTTCTGCCCACTTTTAAATTGGATTATTTGTCTTTTTGTTGTTGAGGTGTTGGAGTTTTCTAGAAATTCTAGAGATAAGTCCCTTGTCAGATATGTTATTGCCAGATATTTTTTCCCAATCTGTAGGTTCTCTTTTGACTCTTTTGAAGAAGTCTTTGGAAGCACACACATAAAAATTTAATTTTTAGAAGGTCCCATTCATCTAGTTTCTCTTCTGCTGTTTGTGCATTTTGGGTTATGCTTGATAGTCTGTTTATGCCATATATTGTTGTTGTTGTTGTTATGTGCCATCGAGTCGGCCCTGACTCATAGCGACCCCTCCTTGGATTTCTGAGGCGGTATCACTACGGAA